TCCCCACCATTGCCACCAATGGGCCGGATCAAAAACAGATTTCTGTCCTTCTGAATTTGGGAGTCTCCCAAAAAATGGTTCGGGACACCCACTGAAATCCAGGACACCGAAACAGATCATGGTTTACCTGGACTGCACAAGCCTAGATTTTGTATATAGTAAAAATGAAACTCAACAACAAATTGAATACATGTTTTGTTTATTTAAAAATGGAGGAATGGGGCTGAATAAACAGTTATAAAAATATCAAAACTGTTTAACTGGGAACCAGTTCTCAGGGAATGGTTCAAGTACATCTCTCTCTCAGCATATTACTATATATAATGCCTCAAAATAATAATAATAATAATAATAATAATAATAATAATAATAATAATAATACTTTATTTATATACTGCCCTATCTCCCCAAGGGAACTCAGAGGGAACTCCACATATGCAAATTAATATGAAAACATACAATATAAAACAAAAACAAAGGCATAAACTGTTAACATAACATATACATTTAAATCAATTTAAAACTGGTTCCGCTCTCTTCTTCATGCAAGGTAAGCTGCCAGGGGCAAAGATTTCAATAAGGGGCCTGGACTATTTGGAACGGGCTGGGCCAAGGCTAGTGCAAGGAGAAGGGAAAAATGGGGCTGGCTGAATGCTTGGATTTAAATTTAATTACTTGGATTTAAATTTAACTGAACAAAGTACTTTACTTCTGGGACAAAAGATTAAGCTGTGAAATGTTCAATAATTCATTCATTTGTTCACATGCCTGCACTTAAGTATAAATGCTACTAAAGGCAAGAAAACAAAAGTTACACTGAGATCTTAGGAAAATTGACCGAAGTGGAAAATTATTTTTTTTGTACTACAATTCCCAGATTCCGCCAGACATGGTAGTTGGAGGAGTAAGTTTCAGTCCAAAAATAAACTTTTCCAAGCTCCGAAACATACTAGCACTAAATGAAAGAGCCATTCACATTTGTGAGAATATAGGCCTTGTATATAAAATTCAGTCAGAAAAGGGGGAAATGAGTAAGTGTGCAGTTTTGGGTAGGAAAACCTCCCTCCCATATGATCATTTTAAAATCTCTGTGTTGTTTTGAGATGCTCTAATAAAACACGTGCAACTTGAAAATAAAGAATCTCTGAAGAAAGCTGAATCTTTTCAATAGGCAGAATTTTAAGCTTACTATTCTGATGTCTTTTTGTTGTGCTGGACTTCAAAAGAAACAAATAGGTTTCCAGGTAAAAGCAAACCACATCACACAGGACATGCCACCGTGTCAGTTCAAAGAGCTGTCATTTACAAATGCTGTGTTTCATCATGTCTCCTCGAGGTCACGCAAGGCACTGCTATTCCAAAAATAAATATATCTGTATCCCAAAAGCTTCAGGCTTGTTTTGTTTCTTCCCTCTAAAGCAATCTTCTGCTTATAATGTATTTAAAAAATCAAGTACAGACTTGGCATGGAACGGGATTAAATATGATTCATACGTTAGCACTCTTTTAGGAGTGGGCATTCAGTATGTGAAAACTCCATTTTACCCTGCAATGCCATCTTGGTGAAAAAGGTAATTATTTAAAGTTATTCATCAGTCCCATGAGACCTTCATTCCCATGTTTTTCTTTATATGAACCCATACATGTGTTAATTGATTTATTTACAAGATTTATACCCCGCCCTTCACACCTCAATGGGGACTCGGGGCGGCTTATTTATTTATTTATTTGCTTTATTTCTATACCGCATTTTTCAGCCCTTAACAGGCGACTCAATGCGGTTTACATGATACAATTATCAAACAGTGTCAGTGCAATTAAAACATAACAATGCAACAAACAGGATCAACAGCATCAATCCACAACAGTTAACAATCAACAAGACAAATCAACAAAACAGACTAACATAACGCCTCAGTTGAAATCAGATCCGTTCTCATAATCCCTTACATTATAGGCATTATTATGCCCAAACAACGATAACAATTAGAAACAATTAAACAGTGATTTAAAACAATATTAAAACAACATACGTAAACATTGGACAACTATTGTGCATAGATTCAAAGTCAGATAGTCAAATAATCATATTCATCAATCCAAGGTAAATTGCAATTGTATTGCACAGATAATTATGCTGGGCCAAATGCTTGCTCCCAAAGCCAAGTTTTCACTTGTTTGTGAATGACAGGAGGGAAGAGGCCAATCAAATCCCACTAGGGAGGGGGTTCCACAGCCAAGGAGCCATCACTGAGAAGGCCCTGTCTCTCGTCCCCACCAGTTGCACCTGTGAAGGTGGTGGGACCGAGAGGAGTGCCTCCCCAGAAGATCGTAACCTTCATGATGGTTCATAGAGGGAGATGCTTTCAGACAGGCAAGTTGGGCTGGTGCCATTCAGGGCTTTATAGGCTAGAGCCAGCATTCTGAATTGTGTTCAGTAGCAAATTGGCAGCCAGTGGAGCTGGCGCAATACGGGGGTTGTGTGCTCCCTATACGCTGCTCTTGTTAGCAATCTGGCTGCTGCATGCTGGACTAGTTGAGGCTTCCAAACAGTCTTCAAAGGCAAACCCAAAGTCTATACAAGATATAACCAGTGCATGGACCACCGTGGCCAAGTCTAACTAAATTTTTGGAGGTTTATTAGAGGCACCATTCCCAGACTTTATAATTCCATAGTACATCCTCTAGTATGCATGCACCCTTTCTACATGATTGTGTACTTTACTTTTTAGGGTTATAGAGAGCCTTCATGTATTCACTCTGTTTAAGGATATCACTTTTTACATGCGAAAAACAACAATGGAGCGGAGTGGGATCGTCAAGCTCCTTCTACCCACAGGTTCAGGTTAATCCAATGTTGATGTGTGGTTTTAAACTTTGTGTTTTAGGTAAGCTTCATTTGTTTTTGATAGTTGTCATTCACTCACTTTATCTTGTCAAGAAAACCTCATGACAATTTTACCTTAAGGTTATGACAAACTGGAAACTACATGTTGTGGACGCACACAACAACAGTGTCCACATCTACAATGACCATTTAATATGAAGCTAGCTCTAAGCTTCAAACTGTGGTACCAGACACCAAACTCCAACAAAAGCATGAGGAAAAAAGAGCCCTTCATGTGCCTCGGTGCTCTAAGGTTCGTGTTATCACCATGCAAGTCGCAAACAGGGTAAAGCTTTCCTTATGTGAACCTCTGCACAGTGAAACAAATTTTCTACAATATCAGTTTAAAAATGCACTAAATGGTCAATGTAGATGTGTCTATGGAAGAAGATAAAAGAATTGCAGAGGAACTGATTTTTTTCAATTATCTTCATTTCAGAAAACATAGTGGTGGTTCCCATTCTGAACTAATATTTTCAGGAAGTGAGTGTGAGGAACTGAGGCACATAATAGTGGTTAAGAGAAGCAGATTTAGATCTCACTAATTAATCAAAAAAATTAGAGAACCCGTGTAATGTGCATCTGTAAATCCTGAAGGATTGCAATGCAACATAGCTGATTTTCTAACAGAGGCATACGTAGAACAGAAAATCTAGTGTGGTCAATGTAATGTCAGGTTTAAAGAAAAAAAGACTTAAGTGAAATGGGAAATTATTGGCTGATTAGTTTAATGATGGTTTAAGTGCAAGTTCTGTTCAAACAAAAACATCAAACATACAGGAGATAGATCTCACTAAAAAAGTATCAACATAGCTTCTGAAATGGTAAATATTGTCTTGCAACTACTTCAGCAATATGCAAAGTGATCTTGCAGCACCTTTGAGACTAACTGAGAGAAGTTCATAACACAAGCTTTTGTAGACTTAAGTTACTCCATCAGATGCAGTTAGTCAATAATATATTTAGATCATGCAATAACCAAAGTTCTGTGGGTAGTTTACAAGTATCTTAAATTTTATAAAAATGGCACATGGTAAAACCAACAGCTAGGAAAGATGTAATAAAGCTAAACTAAACTAATTAGTAATGGGGGTGGGGAGATAATGCAGATAAATAAAACAAATTGTGTAAAAATAAGCAGTTTTTCATCTACCACAGAATACAAGTATGTAGTGAGTCTTTTGCAAACAGGATGGTACTACTGAAAAGCACTTCCTTGTTACCTTACCATCACATAATAGGCTTAGCAATAAACTCTAGCCTATTATGTGATGGTAAGGTAACAAGTTTTTCTTCAACTGTGCTACAACCAACATTTATCACATCACAACTAAAAAAATGAACCAAGGAAATAAACAGATCTGCAAATAAGAAAAGAATGTTTAGGTGGAAACCATACAAAAAAACCCCTCTTAACTTCCACAGGAAATTATCAGACTATGACAAGGAAACAGATGTCAAATCCTTCATCAGGTTACACATTTTGGGCCAATGGCTTGTTGTGACAAAACTGGGTTTTCATGACAGCCTTGAAGTCCTAAATTGCCCTGGATTTAGTGATTTTATCATCTGTGTCAAAAAGTTCCACAGAACACTCATACCAGGGAGTTGTTAGCATCAAATTAAAGACAATTTCTATCAACTCAGGTAGGGAGAGACTGTTGGGTAGTGGCACATTGTTACATTATCAGAGTATCGATAAAAATCAGAATAAAAAGGATCTAAATGGATAAGGTTTCCATAAGGCTTTGGATAGAGTTCTTCACTCAATATTCCTCAGTAGATTTAACAGTTATTTGGAAAATGAAGTCCTCTTGTATATCCCAAATTTGTCCCAAAAAACAAAAAAGGAAGCAAAGAATAGGAGTAAATGTGTGAGATACACAAATCAGTGTCATTCCCAAGAATCTGTACTGGAATCTGTACTGGCCTTTTCATTTGCTCATAAATGATCTCCAGGTGAGATGAACAGGAAGATGGACAACTTTAGAGATGACTCCAAATTATTTAAGGTTGTTGACTATGAGAGGTGTTCTCTCAAGATATATATATATATATATATGTGTGTGTGTGTGTGTGTGTGTATCACATATCATTTGTTTTATTTTTACAGGACTCTACACTCCTATCTCCCACAAGTCAAAGGCCTACTGTAAAATAACAAATATATCCATGTTGTAGTTCAGCGTGATGGTAACGTAACTTCTACTGGTAGAAGGGAGAAGAGGTCTGCACAGGAGTTGGAGGAGGAATAGCAGCAAAAACGGATTAGGGAGATAATCATGGCTCCAAGTAATTCTGAGACGTTTGAGGGCTTCTCCGATTGTGAAATGGGGGATGGGGAGGAGAGCAGGGGAGTAAAGTGGGTTACTCGCGATCCGGAGTCTGATGAAGAGCTTCAAAGGAAGCGTATTCGGGAAATACTTAGCGCTCCTACAGAGGACGAGGACTTCATGGGGTTTGAAAGGAGTGATGGGTCTGGGAGTGAGGTGGGAGAGGAGGATGAGCTGGATTGGACCCGTGTTCAGGAGATTAGGGACATTTGTAACCAACCCACCTCCAGTGATGAGTTTGAGGATTGGCAACCGGGGAGCACTTGGCAAGACCTAAGTCTTGACAGACGCTGGCAGAGGTGGAGGGATGGGCACTTGGGTTCAGCTGCGGGGTTGGAGGCAGCTGAGAGTGATGAGGAATGGGTGGGGAGCTCATCATCCTCTAATGAGGAGCTGTGGGATAAAAGTGGGTTTTGATTGTATGGCTCTTTGCATAAGGCAAAGTGTCTCTTTTGGGATATGAATCTTTGTTACTGCCAACTCTCGAGCTTGGATCCCTTGGACTACAGATTCCTGCGTTCCTGTGTTCCTGCATTTCCTGTGTTTACCTTTCGCAACAGCTTGACTCCGGACCGGTTTGACCAACGCTTTTGTCTTTTGGACTTAACCATTGCTAACTTCGTGTTTTGACCTGGCAACGTTTTGAGCTTTTGTTTTTTGCCTCTTGCTATTGTGCTTGTGAACTGTGTATATTTTGAAGCAGATTGCTGAACTTTTGTGTTAACCCAGATTAAACAGCTATATAATCCGGGTTATATTTTTGTTACCGATATCGTTGCGTTTTTGATGCCAACTTATTGCCTGAACTCTCTGCACTGAATTTAAGTGCTTTAAAGACTTCTTTTTGTTCAATAAAGTTGTGTTTGAACCTTTTTACTCTGTGCTGGGCTTACGGCTTCTGGGTCTTGACAATCTAAGTGTAGGCAAGTATAAAGAATCCCAGCTTCTCATATACAGTGACAGACAGCATGTAGAATGATAGAAGTATTAATTTAAAGTAAAAAAAAGTAGAAAGCTAAAGGTAGAAAGCTAAAGGATTCTCATCAATTTAGATGAGTCATAGGTTTTAAATGTTTTCCAAATTCACCAAAACTGTATGTGTGTGAAAATCCAGTCAAGGCACTAGAACAACACATGCATCAGTGATCTGAAACTGGCCTTCCCTTCCCCTGTCATATGCACACATGGTGAGAATTGTGTTTGCTTTGCATAATGTATGAGGAGGCTTTTATTCTTTCTCTCACAACAACTGAGCACAACTTTATTCTGTTCTGTAGAAGCAAAGTCCAGATTTCAAACCTGTGCAGTTAGAATTCTTTGCAAGAGCAGCACTACCCTCTAGTGTTCCACCACTCTCATTGTTCCATTCAAAAACTTACAATAAAACCAGTTTAAATCAAGAGGGATCTCTTTATTTTTGGTTCCTGTCAATGTCCATTTACCAAGCTGTTCAACCTCGTTTTTTGCATCTAATTAGGTTAGAAAAAATTAATTCTAATCAACTTAACCACAAATGGTTTTTTAACAAAATATTCCTTTTGTACATATTTTTAATATCTCTCTGCCCCTCTGTATTTCCATTTATATTCTCTCTCTCTCTTTCTTTCTATTTGCATTTGTATTTTCTAAGCTGAGAATTGGTGACATAAAATTAAAATGACTATAGATAGATACCTGAGATTTAATTAAAGATTAATCAAAATTGGTGTGAATCTGGTTGGATGAAATTCAAATTAATTATTTCTTAAGCAGTGTTCAGAAACCAATGGCTGGCTCAAACTGATTAAAGCTCTAGAAACACTTTCCACATTCTGGGACAGACAATATATTTTGAATTAATCTGATTCCTCTACTTCAGCCTTATGCCTAACTTATATTTATACAACATAGGAAACAATTCAGCAAGTCATTCGCAGTCTCTCCCGACCCAAATGCTAACCTGGAAGTTCGGTAGAATCTTTCACACATTTTATTAATGTATAGATGGGAATGAAATGAATAAAATGTTGCTGTTCAAGTACTACTTTAATGAAAAACTCAGGAATCTTACACAGAATAGTTTTCATCAAATGCATATTAGGAAACATGAACTTAGGAGAGGGGCATATGCTTGATAATAGAAAGCAAGGAACCTGGATTTTGAGTCAGCATATATGCTTGCCCTATCTAGTATTCATTGGAAGCATACTATCCAAACTAATTAGACCTGACCCTGCTTAGCTGCCAAGATTAGGCAGGATCTGGTTTCTTTAGGGTATATAGGTCTCAAGTTTTTTTAGAGAGGGGCATTACGATTTCTCAGCCACAGAGAACAGCAGTGGTTTACTGAACTAAAAATCCCAATATTCTCTAGGATGTTCTCATGGCAGTTAAAATAGAATCATAATGCTGTAATTCATTTATGTGGAAACTTCCCTGGCCCAAGTCAATGTGATCTGCCTGTGGGCATCACACTTCTACCTACCTCCATATACACTGTAATGTTAACATCAGCTGAAAGGGAAGATGTTGCTTTCATCTGCATTTTGCTTTCATTTGTAACAAAAATAATGCAGTCCGATGTTGTTAGACTGCAACTCCCCATATTACTCATTATTGACTATGCTGGCCAGGTCTGATGGGACTTGAAGTCCAAGAGCATTTGAAGGGCCAGAGGACTCCTATCCCTGATCTGCTAAGAATCCACACAAACAAACCAGTCCTTTTGGGTGCCAATCATAACACTATCAATTAGTTTTTTTCAGTCAACCTGTCTAGAGAGAACTGAAGACCAGTTGTCTTATGGGCTATCAACATTCACAATGTATATACCCCAGGCAAACTAATTCAGAACTTGAAGCCTGCTATTACAAACATAGATTTAATCCAGACCCACATGATTTACAGCATTCTGCAGGGTAATCCCCTAATTTAGGTGTTTTCAGACAAGAGTGAGACTAAATGCCTGGAATTAAGAAGTTCTTTGCATCAGCTGTCAAGACACAGGCAACTTGACTCTGCTTAATGGCAGGGTGATATATTCCATTATTCATTCTTGAAAATGGCAGGGCAGGAAGAAGGAAATAAAATGGTAACAATTGAACAAAAGCATGAAATGATTTTTTAGGGGGGAAGATAGGGCATTATTATGTCTACAAGCAGCCCTAGCTTTTCAGTAGAGCCACCACTACCAGTGTTGAGCTCATGTTGCTTTAAGTTTACAGACCTACAATTAAAGTAACAGCATTCAGCTCAAAAGGATAATCTCAAGTCTCTTTACTTCAGCATCAAATCCATTTATAGCAGCGGGAGTGGCTCATTCTTTTCAATTCTGCTGCAGTGTTTTCCTATTTCTTACAAAATGGTCTTCCCTTCAATCTAAAGACTGTCAAAACATTTTTTACATTTTTTGCATATTTCTTTGCAAAGCTTCTCCTGCTCCACCTTGTACACCTTGTGCAAATAATTTTATTTCTAAAGGAAACAATGTTTTTTCTAAAAGCTCATATGAAATACAAAACAGATACATATGATAGCTCACATCAACAACCCAAGCTGACCCTCTTCAGCTCAATTTGGTTTAATTATTTGTGATTTCGTAAGAGATCTGCACTAGCGAGCTCACAACTTGAAGTGGGGTAAAAAGAGTTGCTCCTTGTTGTTGTTTGTTGTTTCTATTTGTCTTCAAATCATTTCTGACCCTAAGTGAACTTATCACCGAGATTTCCTGGTAACATTGTGTTCAGAAGGGTTCACCTTTCCCTCTGAACAAATTTGTCTTACACCAAATTGTGTTTTTTTTTTTGCCTTTCCTCTGGGAGAAATTTTTTTAATGTTGCCCAAATACATGTAGTGAGTTTCCACAGAGGAGCAGAGATTTGAGCATTTGTCTCCAGAGTCCAAATCCAAAGCTCAAATAACTATTCCATGCTGATTGTCTACCTTCCTGATTGTTGCCTCTCCTTTTCACCAAATCCTTCAGTTCACTCACTCTGAGATGGAGAATGGGTGAAGTTCTGAGAATCTAAAACAAAGAATGGTCAAGTCCTGTTGTTTTTCAATCCACAGAAGTAGTTATTGTTGCTCCACCTTCATTTGCGGGATCCTTCCTCAAGGTTAAGTGTTGTGGGTGTGATTCCTTGGGAGACTGCCTTTGTTGCTATGACCTGTGTACAATACATTACTCTGAAAACAATGCTTTGAGGATCCATCACAGCAATACATGTAAGACCCAACTGGTTGTTTCTCGGCTGTGGCATTATCAATTCAGGAAAACATCTAATCCGGTTCTCTAATACATTTCAGAGAAGGATATTAGAGAACTGTATTAGATGTTTTCTCGAATTGATAATGCCACAGCCGAGAAACAGCCAGTTGGGTCTTACATATTTTTTTCAAGAAGAGATTACCTAGTGAGATTCTCTAGAGCAACACTAGGGGACCTTCTGGTATTGTATATGATTTACTGGCCCTGACACTCTGCTGCTTAAGACTGAAGCATCCTTCTAACTTTTGCCTTCAACATCTTAAAAGTTTTTTCAAAATTTTCTCCCCCTGCTCCCTCCTCCACTTTCACATTCTAGTCCTAAAATAATGTTTGTCTTCAAAATTCTGGAATTATTTACAGCCTTGAATAAACAGAGCACTGTCATTACCCTCTCTACTCCCAATTTCTACTCGGTTTCTAAAGCTTTATTAAAGATCTTCTAAAATTAGTGCTTTTTGGCCTTTCCACATTTTTGGATTGCTAGGCTCATCAGTTGCATACAGCATGATCAATGGAAAGAGCTGTGGCAAATAAATTTCAAAATATCTGAAAGGCTAAAGTCTCTTCATGCTTTCTTCCCCGCCTTTTAATTTACTCTACATTATCATCCTTGTCTATGACTGCATATGGTTATGCATTCAAATGTATTTAAGGTTGAAGGGGCCACAAGCTTCTTGGAAGCCCTTGTAATCCATCTGTATATGTGGAAACAGACATCCTCCTCACTTTAAAATGGGGCTCAGTTACTCCCTCCATGTAATTATCAACATGCGCTGTTTTCTTCCCTTTCTCTGCATCCTAGACAGCATGATTTATTTTTAAACAATAAAGTGATGCATGGTAATTCTGTATTTTGGCTATGAAACTGCACTGACAAGAATACTGAGCTAACTTGTGGAGAGGCTGCTGCCTCTGGGCATTCAAAAGAGATGTGACAAATCCACTTTAGCAGCTCTGCATGCAATTAGCAAGTTGCACCATTTTTCATCTCAGAGGCTAAGATATAAACTGAGACAGATTATCCTGATATCAGATATCTATCTCTTTCTCTAATACTTTCTAATCTAAAAATTGAAGGAAGGCAACTTTTAATTACTCTATATTTGTAGCATCTTGTTCGAGAACTCATTCCAGAGTAAAGGCAATCAAAATTTGAAAACATGCCAGTCAGATTACTGGCAAGACTTATACAGTACATAATGTGACTAGATAAAAGGAAAATGGAAACTCTCAATACCAAGGACAATTGACCCTCTCCAGCTCAATTTGGTTTAATTATTTGTGATTTTGTAAGAGGGGTCTGTACTAGTCATAAAACCATAGAGAAATACATGGCGCCAAGATTAATCACAAAAATGTCGTCATTGAAAGAGAGATACTATGGATTCTTCCTGTCATCCCCTATCAAAATATAACAGTGCAAATTTAGTGGAAAGGTATTACAGAGCCACACTCTTTCCTAAGTATTTCACTAGTTTTTTTTGCAACCTCTGCCCCCCAAATAACAATTTACTGAAGTGATGAACAGTCATATAGTTTGCAATTCACTATTCAAAATGAGATGGCGTGTTTACATTTATACCACATATGATTTGACCATGTTTTCCCTTTTACTGTCCACAAACTGTT